ATAATCATAAAAAATATTATTTCTTTTAGAATGAAACATTAAAAGAACCAATTATAGTATTACAGCAGTACAAAAAAGATGGAGATTTTTTATCTCTTCCTCGCACTCTAAGAGAGTTACAACCTAAGTATATTGTTATGTATGATGCAAATATGACGGCAGTTAGACAAATTGAAGTAAAATTTATTAATTTAAGTATAACTATGTTGTCTAGAGGATATAAATATTATTTTGTAGGTATTTCAAAATTCTGATGCAAAATCGAAGTTAGTTGTTTATTTTTTAATATTTGGAGGATCTACTGAAGAACAAGCCTATTTAACAACTCTAAGAAGAGAAAAATTACTTTTTGATTTTCTAATCAAAGAAAAAGCGGTATGTATGATTTAATTTTTAAGTATTATTTAATTTTGTTTTATTCTTATTACTGTTATTGTAAATTTAGGTAATGGTTATTCCCAAAGGTCAAGATGGTAAAGATGAAGATTGTCCTGAACTAACTCGTGATTTAGGTGTTCATCCTTCAGAAATGCTGGATGATGACGATAAAACATATAAACCAGATGAAAAGCTTGTTAAAAAAGATATCCCTAAAGTTATTGTTGATATGCGAGAATTTAGGTCCGATTTACCTGTGCTACTTCATCGCCGTGGAATTGACATAGAACCAGTCACTTTACAAGTAATTTATACTGAAAAAATATTACTTTTTTTTTGTTTTGTTTATTCATTTAAATAATTGATTTAGGTTGGTGATTATATTTTGACACCAGAAATGTGTGTAGAACGAAAAAGTATTGATGATTTGATTGGTTCTTTAAAATCTGGTAGATTATATCATCAAGCATTAATGATGTGTCGTCATTATACTAAGCCAATATTACTTATTGAGTTCGATCAAAACAAACCTTTTGATTTACAGGTAATTTTCTTCCTCAATATTACATCTGTATATTTAAATTATTAAGCATAGTATTAAATGTATTATTTGTACAATGATTTATGTTTCTAATACAAGTTTTGGAGTAGTAAAAATTCTTGCACAAGACGCAACAAGTTTTGAAAATCCTTAAAGATGTATTGTAAATTATAATAATTTTAAATACATGTTTAAATAAAATAATGCTAATTTATAAATAATTACTAAACTCAAGTATATTTTTTCAGGGAAGATTTTATCTTAGCAAAGATATGACAACTAGTCATAGAAATGACATCACTTCTAAGTTACAATTGTTAACTCTACATTTTCCAAAACTTCGATTAGTATGGTCGCCTAGTCCTTTTGCTACAGCAGAACTATTTCAAGAACTTAAGGTATTTTTAACTACTAATTAAATAGTTGTAATTTTAATTACATTTTTATTTTGTTAAATTTCATATCACTAGGAGTAACTGATTTAAATATTGTATAAACTTAGCTATTAAATTAGTGAATCATTTTAAGAGATTTATAGTTTTACATGTTAGCATTGTTTATCTTAATTGTTTTTTTGTAGGAAGGAAAGAGCCAGCCAATTTCATCAGAAGCTGCTGCAATTGGTTTAGAGGCAGGACAAAATTTTGATGAAGAAATGTATAATGCAGTTATTAAGGTTAATATTAATTATAATTTATAAATAATAAATAAGTATAAATCATATATTATGATATAGTTAATGATTTCAAATCAAGTGTCCATTTATTGCAATTAAATACATTTTTTTTTTAATTGATCAATTTGTATGTTTTACATATTAAATGTATTAAATAAATTAATAGTAGCTATTTCAAATTATGTACTTTCAAAAATGAATATTTTTATAAGTGACTACAATACTAATAATGTCGTTAGCTTTAAAGTACTTAATAAAATTAATTTAATTTAACATATACAATTTAAAATAGTAATTTGAGGGTTAAGATACTTATATTATTATTAATGCTAGAACCTCGATTTTATTTTAGATGATGTAAATCATTTATCCTTTCCAAAGTTAAATTATTTAATTGGTGATCTAGAAAATAGAATATTTTACTAATGGTTTTTATATGCATTTACTTGCTTAAATGTTTTAATTTTATAAAAATTTAAATTTGTTTTTAGGATTTTATGAGTAAATTACCAGGTGTAACTACTCAGAACATCTTAAATGTATTGAATAAAGGACAGTCACTTACACATATGCTGAAAATGTCTTTACAAGAATTAAAAGCAATTGTCGGTAACTCTCAAGATGCAGAAGCTTTGTATAATGTTTTTCATAAAAAATTAAAATTAACCAATGAACAATCTAATACTAAACATCAATCGAATAAAGGTTTTCGAGCAACAATGAATAAAAAGCGATTTAAACATACAAATTCAAAATCAAAATAGTTAAAAGAATGTGTATTTTTTATGCTTATAATTTATCTATTCCTATTTTAATTAAAAAATTAAACTATAATATATTATATATCAACATTTTATGCATTTATTAAAAGAAAAAAAGTTGTAATTTGTTTATTACTTTTTAATAACAAGGGTTAAGTACTCATTTAGTAGTCACATAACCTTTAATAATGCCACATATTTGTATTATTTGTTGAAACTCTATGATTTATGTATATTTTTTTTTTATCAAGCTTATCACAAAATTAGAATTAATCAATGTATTTGAAATTTATTGTACTTAAATAATATATGGTAATATAGTGTGGAACAGTATTTTCCCATACATTTTAATGCAAAAAAACACTGGATTTGTTTAATATTATAATTAATTTTGTTCTTTTTTGTTTATATTTTTTAAAACTGCAATTGCCACGGGTGCAAATAGTGTTGGACATTTGAGTCCTCTTTCCTAATTCCTCCCTCATCCCTGGAAAAAAATTCTCACATTTTACATATTGATAACATTTTTTTAAAGATTTGGTAACACTAGAAAATCTTTAAAAAATGTCCAGTTTGAACCTACAGAGCTCTTGTTTCCCCCTTCCACCCACTAATTTTCTAACTATTTACACCTATTGTAAATTAATATAAGTAATGTTGTGACAACTCAATCACTGATAATATTGTTTTTAAATTAAGTTATAATTTTTTTCTGTTCTCTCTGATTGTGTGTGACGTATGTGTCATGATGTTTTTTGTTTTGCTTTATGTAAATACTTTTTAAAATTTAAATATGTTTAATTACTACTTACTATTACATTCATTTTAATAATATTAATCGCGAAATGTTTTAAATATAATAAAACAAGTATAAGATATTGAATATATTTGATAATTTTTAAAGCATCATTGATTTATATTATATTCAATCATCTTTGTATTGTTATTTTATTTCAAATGTCCTTTTTTAAAAAAATTCAAATAAATAATTTAAATTTGAACCTAGCTTAAGATAAACAATTATGTAATTTATTTAAAATAATTTTCTAAGTTTGAATAGGTAATGTGCTTTTATAATTCACTTGTAAACTGACATGTAAGAATATATTATATGTATGCAAGAAATACATTTTTATAAGCTGAAGAGTATTAATATTATTCATAATAACATATAGGATTTTTTTTTAAATTTTTTTTACATATATTAAATATTTGATGCTTATTTTTAATTTAATTCAAAATTTTGATAAAAATTGTTTTCTTAGATATCATATTTAGTATTGAAAAGAGAAAATAATAATTTATAAATCAAATGGAAATTATCTTAATCAAAAACACTTAAAGTTACTAATGTAAATGTTGAAGCAATGCTAGTTTCAGTTGAACTTGTTGACAAAGAAAAAATATTACTGCCTTCATAACAGCTTTGAGATGATGCGCTTAGACTGATTTTGATAATTTGATTGTATTATTATTTATTAAAGGTATTGTATTGCATTTGTCGACTATTGATGTATGAAATATCTGCTTTATACAATATTGTTGTAAATAGAGTTCTTAATAGAATTGAAATAAAACCAGATGATGAATTTAAATTTGTTTTCAAAATCAATACCTATCAGTTATCACTTAAACAGATTTATCATAAGTGAAAATGGGTGTTTTTAGCACGAGTTGAATATAGGGCCGTATTTAAAATGTTGACACTCCGAGACATTTATGTAACGCCATTATTCTTTTAGAATGACACATTTGATTTTACTTAGACCAGTATGAGCATTTGACAAACACTTCCTACTACCCTCCTAAAATGGAATAGGGTTGAATCTAAATGTTGGCCATTTACGGCTATTGAAGCACTGCAATAATGTGAACCACTAATATACCTATCCAAATATGTGCGAACTTTGTAAATTACTATCGATACTTCCAGTTTCAACAGCTACTGCTGAGATTAAGGTAAGATTTCTGAAAATATCTGTGTTCATTGGTACAACCCATAGTACAAAATTAATGCTTAAAAAATAATAATAAAAAACTCGAAAATTTGAGTGCCGGGGGTATCCACCTTGTCTATTGAAATAACTAATTGTGCATTTGTGCAACATGAAATACAACCCCTCTTGTGTTTATCTTATATATACCATGTACTTATTACTTTACATAAATTGCATTAGTTTTTAATTTATACACGGTTTTTTAATTTTTCTTCCATTGAAATCGTAAACCATGCTCTATCTCTTTCTAGCAATGGGCTACAATGATTGGTGGAAGAAGTGGCGTATGGAAGGCGCTGTCCATATCGTTATAGATCAGTTTTTGTTTATTGTATATGACGTCATCTAAACTAGAACCACGAATATGTTAGTACCTTGTGCACTTTATTTTATAGTTTACATAAGGGGTGTGAGGACCGTTTTTATCGTTTAATGCATTAAAAATAATATAACTATTCAATTATTTCTATTGAGCGTTATTTGTGTTGCTTATATATAGTGCTTACACATTTATTATTTACTAATCATTAAATTCCTTCTCACGATTTCACAAATCATAATTAGAGATATTATTATCAATTATCATTGTCAGGTTGTTTGTACTTAATATTATGTTTGGTATTTTTGTATTTATTAATTTAATTTTTTATATCTATGGTATGTAGCTTAAATACTATTTTTTGCAAATCGATTAAAAATTATTAATCTTTCATAAAAAAATCGTTCGATGACTACTTTATAGTTTGTATGCACTTTATACTAGATAATTGTTTGTAGTCTCGTTGGATATAGTAATGTGACTGTCTTATTCGATACTACATTTTATGTTTATCTTACATTGAATCTAAATATCTATAAAAATGACTTGGGGTTTTGTTACTTGTGGTCCTAATGAGGCTCTCGTTATATCAGGTAATTTAAATGTTTTTTATTAATTGTATTTTGTTTAATTTAGTTACTTTATTATAATTTATATTGTCAGATATTTTTATTCTTTTTTTAATTAATAATTATTTAGTGTTTGTGGTTATTTTTTTGTTTCATCATTGATATTTTATATATCATATTAGCTTTAAATACACTAATGTATTTCAATTTTTATTTAATATTTATTTATTTAACAATAAATCTAATATTCTTTAATGATTAAACACATAAATTTTTTAGACTTTTATGAGAACTATTTATGATTTATAATTCAGATCAGAAATTAATAAATATATTGTGGTTGTATAGATTCTAGATATAGACATTAAAATGTTTATTTTGAAAGTAGTTTTGGTTATGGTGGGAACTTATATGATGGTATAGTGAGCAGAATTTAAAGAATCATTAAATGGGATATTTTGTAACACAGTAGTAGTATACTGAATAATTTTTATATTCGAAGAAAACTACCAATTGACCATGTACTCACGTCTCACAAATTTTTATATATATATATTTTTTTAAATTCATAGTGTACATATTATTATTAAAAAATGTTTAACATATTAAATTCATTACTTGATACTTGCCAACTAATTTTGTTTTAATGAAATTGCCCCTAAAAAGCCTAATTTGACACACCATTGAAATAGGTACACGAGGGAATATAGGACTTATTATTATACAATTTTTCAAATTGAAATTAGAAATTACATTTTTTTTTTTAGGATTTTGTTACGGCAAACCAAATTTGGTACCTGGTGGAAGAGCATTTGTTTGGCCTGTTATACAATATTGCCAGAAGTAAGTATATTAATGATACATATTTTATACATTTATTTTCAAAATAATATTTATTTTTTGTCATGTATTCGTGTTTTATAGAGTGAGTTTTGGATGAAAAGTATAAATTAAATAAATTAGGTACTATACAATCAATGTTTATATAATACAGTAATTAATACTAAATTAAATTATCAAGATTTTAATTAAATATAAATTAAAATAATTACCTGTCTGCAGTTGAGTTTAATAGATTATTGTTTATACTATAAATGAGAGTATAATATTATTTCACTCTTGTTTGACTTTTTTTCTATTGATTTCTTATTTTTTATTTAAATACATATTCATGTTTTTAATATTTTTTTCTTTGTAACTTTTTTAATTTTTAATACAAGTTATATTAGTTAATAACAATAAAATATATGATAAATTAATATATTTATTAATTTATCTTTGTCATAGGGTGACTAAAGCCAAGAAGTTATTGATAATTGATAAATATTAACATACATAATAAATGAATTCTCATTATACACGAATAATGATATATTTTAATAAATTATAATTAACTAACACCTGCTGGTAAATGCAAGGAGATATTAATTTTTTTGTTACTACGTGGTTTGAGAGTATTCAATAATTCATATCCTTTTTTATAAAAAGATGAGCATGCCACTGATACTGTAAGAATAAAATTGTTTATTGTAAGAAATTAATAAATTTCCCCATTTATTCTTACTGAGCGGACAAAATCTATATTTTTTGAAGTTTGGTAAAATCTTCCAATTAATTTTATATTATATTCAATATAAATATACACTAAACATATATTTTTTTAGTTTTTATTAATTCATTTTTTTAATATAACTGTTTTAATGTTATCTTAACAATTTATATCATGTAAACACTACAATTATTAAAATATAATGTATTATATTATATTTTTTATCATGTTATTTATAAATGTTGTTAAAGTTAGAATTATTGCTTATATATATGTCTTGTTTTAGATAATGTACAAAGATGATGGAAATATTTATACAAGAAAATGTATAAGTTAATATATTGCTAAAATTTTTGTGTATATAACTAATTTTTAATTTAATGTATTGATATGTTATGATTGTGGTATTGTTATGTGATCATTGCATTATTAATTCATTTTAAATATTTTTAGAATTTGTTTGAACACTATGACAATACAAGTTGATAGTCCTAAGGTATATACTATCCAAGGTGTTCCTTTGTCTGTTACTGGTATAGCTCAGGTATAGTATTTTATTGTAAATAATAATACCTATCTATACATTTTACAAATTATAAATTAAGACTATTTTAATTTCATTAAGGAGATTGGGGGTGTTCAATAAAATAGGATTATTATATAGTATTATTTTAATATCTTATTTTTTTAAACTTTTTCGTATGTAAAGTATAAAATAAATGAAATAGTGTAAGTTATGAGGAACAGGGACAAATGGACGTGGTTATTTGGATGCCAAGTCATTTAGACGCTGCCGTTTGGGCGCGAGGACAAAATTATAATTATTTAATTCTTTATTTTTACTTATATCAATGACAATAAAATTTAAACATTCATATATTATAGTAGAATTATCATAAAACAGTTTATAAGCATACATTTTATTTAAATATTTATAATAATAAAACAAATTAATTAATACTGGTCTAAACAACTTCATGCTTAAACGATAACGTAGAATAAATCCTAATATCGTGATAAAACTATAATATTAATTATAATTATTAATTTTGTCCTCGTGTCCAAATGTACTGGCATTCAAACAGCCGTTTCCATTTGTCCTAGATCGAAGTTATGATATTCATAATGACAACCATGTTATTTTTTCGGAATGATTTTTCTTGAATATTAAGCATTTATGTATTAATTATTAATTATTATTTATTAATTTATAATATATCAAAAATGTGCTATGTATGACCTATGTCTAATTTATTTTTGTGACTGTACCAACAATGTCAAGAGAAGTAAATTCCTATTTTTCTTTAGGCCAAAATATCTAAAAAGTTTATTAAATTATTGTTGCTATGTATTTTATTTTAATATTAGTAATATGGTTGATTGCTTTACCAAAAACACTACATTTGAAAATGTCATTGGGTATATAAAATATAATAATAAACAATAAAATCTTTAAATATCTACAAATAATATAGAATTATAACAAAATAAAATCATTATTTTCATTTAATTATCTAATTGCATCATAATATGAACTTAAAATGTCTATAAATAAAAATTATTTAAAAATATTTATCTAATAAAATAAGACATATTTTAGTAGTTATAAGTGTACTTAATTATTAATTAAATAAATGTTTAGGTAAAAATTCAAGGACAAAATGAGGAAATGCTTTTAACAGCATGCGAGCAGTTTTTGGGTAAACCCAAGGAAGAGATACATGAAATTGCATTGCATACTCTTGAAGGTCATCAACGAGCAATTATGGGTTCTATGACTGTAGAGGTTTGCTTATTTAAAAATGTCTATTCATTTTTTATAAATGAAAATTATGTTTGTAATTATTATTTTAGGAAATTTATAAAGATCGTAAAAAATTTAGTAAACAAGTATTTGAAGTAGCTTCTTCAGATTTAGTTAACATGGGTATAACTGTTGTGTCATATACAATAAAAGATATAAGGGACGAAGAGGTAAGATGTATTTTAAACTGTTTTAGTAATTACAGTAGTAGATTTTAATTGTTGTTACAATTAATTACCATGTTTAGGGTTATCTTAAAGCACTTGGGTTGGCTAGAACTGCAGAAGTTAAACGTGATGCTCGTATAGGAGAAGCCGAGGCAAAAAGAGAAACAACAATTAAAGAAGCTATGGCAGAAGAAGAAAGAATGGCAGCCAAGTAATACCATTTTTATATTATTATAAAATATTGATAAATAGATATTATTTAATTAATTTTGTCTTACAGGTTGATCAATGATACAGAAATAGCTAAAGCTCAAAGAGATTTTGAACTTAAAAAAGCAGCATATGATGTAGAAATTCAAACAAAGGTATTATATCTAATATATTAATTATAAATTTATTTGTTTTGTCATGATGTATAAAAAAAAAAAAAAAATGGTACTTGAAATTTTCTCTGCTGCACAGAAAAACAGAATTATATAGATGTTTTTAAGATTATGATTAAAATGTACCAGATAAATTTATTTTTATTTGATTATATTTATTATTGGTTGCTAGTGGTAACCTTATGAAAATGTTGATTAAATAATAGTTATAACAATTGGATTGGTATTATGCAAAATTGATCACAAAAAAAACAAAATTATATCCATCCCAAAAACATTTATGTCAAAGAAAAAATGTGTTATTTATCTAGAAATTATTAAAACAGCTTAAAGTTTAAATAGATCTATATTTTTTGTACCAATTGTTTTATTTTGCAAATTAATAGTAATATTTTTATGAACATTTGAAGTTGGTCAAAATTTTTACTGTTATATTTAAACAGTTATTTGGATAGTATGTAGATTATTTATTAGGTTTGCCAATATTTTTTAAATCGATTGTTTTTTTACTTTTGTATCTTTTAAATTGTTATTTAGCATATATTTTGTCAAACTATTTCCTAGTATTTTAATTGAAATAGGCAATATTTTATAAAACCAAATAATAATCATATTTAAAATGAAATAAGTGTATTAAGTAGTTTAAAATTTAAGAATAAAATTTATCATATCCTCATTAGTTTTATCAATATTTTTAAAATATTATATAGTAATACTTAAAATTAATAATTAATATAATTAATCAGTTAGAAAGCTTGTATTTTTTCTTGGCTTACAATTTAAAAGTAAAATAATTAAGTCTAACCAGTATTTATGTTATTTATCATTACAATTGTCAATTGGTATTGTTTAAACATTGAACTATATTAATATTTTAATGTCAACAAAATAATATATTTTGTTTAGACTATAATAATTGGAGTTATATCTAAGATTCTAAATAAATATTAATTTTTAAGAAATCTAAATTTTTGCAACTCAAATAAATATTATATGATATGTTTATTATACAGTTCATTTAAGTTATTTGTTAGTAAAATGTTACTGTTATTACAACCTACAGTTAAGTCTATGTCATGTTCAACATACAGGTATCTTAATTGTAAAATACTGTGTCACTTGATTAAATTAAAACTATATTTGGTTTTCTAATATTTATATGTTTAAATTAATCTAAATATTTTAGAAAGCTGAAGCAGAATTAGCTTTTGAACTTCAAGCTGCAAAAACAAAGCAACTTATAAAAGAAGAACAAATGCAAATTGATGTTGTAGAAAGAACACAACAAATTGCTGTCCAAGAACAAGAAATTCAAAGACGAGAACGTGAATTAGAAGCTACTGTAAGGAGACCAGCAGAAGCTGAGAAATTTCGGTAATGTAGTGTTTTAAATTTAAAATGTTAGTTATAATTTAATTAAAAAAGACGAAATTCAAGATTTTTCATGATATTTTTTGTAATTAATTTTGGACAATACATTTTTGAAAATGTAGTATAGTTTGCTTTTATTGATAAAAATATCAGTATTTCATCATAGATCATTCAATTAGGAAATGTATTAAAATATTGTTAATCCTTTAATTTTTAATTTAACAGCATTTTTTAAAGTTAAAATATTCTAAAAATATGTATTATGGCATGTAATTACAGTAATTTTCAAAATGTTTATTATTTTGTGCAGTATTTAAAAATATTTGTATTTTAGAAGAGTGAGGTTAATATTGTTTAAAATTGAAATAAAAATGATTTGTAGGGTTTTTCATATTTTAGGTTTCAATCATGAAGATTTTTATTTAATAAATTATAAGTAAAGTACTAGGGGTACAATTATGAGGACTGAAGAGATTCTTTAGTGTGCTATTGGTGTTGGTAGTATTTACTCTTCATTTTGACTAACTAATAAAAACATGGTACATCAATGTTTGGCATCCTTGTTCAAGTTTTTAAGTTAGGTTATAACAGATAAATTATTTGGGTTTTTAATTTGTTACTTTCTTTGTAATACATAATAATATAAGCCTTGCTTTTAATTTGACCCCCCCCCCCCCCCAAAAAAAAAAAAAAATATATATATATTCATTTAGCAGAACTTATCTTATGTTATTAGTTTTAATATTTGAGTGAATTGACTAATTATCAAACTTAATTGAATATTATTTGTATATTTTGTATACTGGAATTTATTATTACATTTAAATTATTATTTAAGTTATGAGTATAAAAAAATATTATAATTTAAAAATACTCATGTTTTATGCATAATATTTTTACAACTTCAAATCATTGACAATAATGATTGGCGACTTAATCCTAGGGATTAAGTAAATATGTCAGTAGTATGGATATTTACTATTTTTGTTTATTTATTTATTTGGATGGGTCAGATACCCAATAAAAATGATATAACTATGGCCAATGCAACGTATAATGAAATTACTAAATTAATTTCTACGATGGTTACTATTTTTATTTATAGGTAATAATACACTTTAATGACTAATAACATCAAAAGGTAAATTTAACTAATTACAATATAAATATATACAAATATAAAGATACATTTGCTCTTAGGTTCTAGGTTATTCATATACATGATATTTTAAAAAATTATTTAAATATTCATTAAACACATCAACAGTCTTACATTTGGGTCACAACTCGTAGATTGGAATGGTACATAAATAATGTTTAATTTTCTAGTACTATGATTAAGAATCAGAAAGCTTAAGTTTGAAATTAACTCTAGGCAATAAACTTGTCCATAAATTTGTTTATCTTATTAGTCATGTATTAACTATTCTTTATATATTTTAAATATTATCAATTAAAATGTTTTAAATAACTTATTAACTTAATTTTGTTAATGAAAATAGATTAGAGAAATTGGCTCAAGCAAATAGAACTCGAATTATACTGGAAGCTGAAGCTGAAGCTGAAACACTCAGGCTTAAAGGAGAAGCAGAGTCATTTGCTATTCGAGCAAAAAGTAAAGCTGATGCAGAACAAGCAATAAAAAAAGCAGAAGCATGGAAAGAATACAAAAAAGCTGCTATTATTAATATGGTTCTTGAAGCATTACCAAAGGTGAATATGTTATATTGTAAAATCGATTTCACTTAAATGTTTCCATTATTTTTTTATAAAATTATATTTTATATTTAATTTTAGCTTGCTGCTGAAGTTGCAGCTCCTTTTGAAAATACTAAAAAGGTTACAATGGTGGCCAGTGGTGATGGGGATGTGGGGGCTGTAAGATTGACAAATGAAATTATTCAAATAGTTAATAAAGTGCCTGAAATGGTAACTACTTTAACTGGAGTTAAAATAAATGATGTCATGTAAGTTTTTTGGAATTAAGTAAAACAAAAATATTAAAAATGTGTTTAATCATGTGTAAATTAATAATTAAATTTAATTAATCATTTGAAATAAAAAAAATTTATAAATTTGTTTATGTATGTAATATGTATATATTCTGTTTATGATATTTAATTTAAATTTAAAGGTAACATCCTCTAAAAAAATTTAAACCAAAATATTAGTTTTATGTACATTTAATTATTTAAATTAAAAAAAAATAATACATAATTTATTATATGTATATTTATTTATTTATTTTATTTTATCTTGTAACAGGAATATGTAAGAAAATGGGCTGGAAATTCGATCAATTTATTAGTATTATTATTTTTTTTTTTTTTGCTTATGATCTTAATTGTCTTCCAATGCTCATCAAGTAAATTACATTATTTATCCTTTATAATTAATCAATTGCTTAATGTTTTACCTTATGATATGTAGGTTTTATCCTTTTATCTTTTTTATTCATTTTCCTTATTTTATTACTATTTTTTAATGATTAATGATTAGTTATTATTTCTATTATTATTAATTATAAATAATTTTACATTAAATATTATTCTTCCAATAAAACATAGAATTAGTTAATTTGCTATAATTTATGAATGTCTAATGCATTTTTATTGCTTTTGATAATATTTTAACAGGTTATGGTATAAAATGTCTTACTATTTTGTTTTGCTTTAATTAATAGTAATACCAATAAAATAAGTTATAATGCACCAAAGTTGTACTTTTTTACATATTTAATAAAATAAAAGAACATCCAACATTATTTATTGATTGTTTTATTTATTAAACCTTTTGCTTGTTTTAGTCATGTCAATTTTAAGAGTTATTTTTTATCTTATTTTTATAAAATACTTTATTTTATTATGTATGATTTACTGGATAATCATACATGGCTTTTCTACTTTGGTGGTCAATGTGAAAATAATACACATTGTTTGAATATTGTATAAATGATTTGAGTGACTAAATATTTGGATGGTAAATTATCAAGTAAAAGGAAATCATATTTAAATAAACACACTGTTTTACTTTATAAGCGTTAACATCAAAAAAAAAAAAAAAAAATGTATGAAATAGCAATTTTAATTTAATTTTTACATTATATTGAATTAATTTTAAAAATAAATTCTTTGACACTAAAGGATTTCATAATTTACCTACTGCTCTATATTTATATGTTTTTTAACATTCTATTTTAAACTTAATGTGTTAATCTATAAGTACCTATGTATTTTAAATAAATCCCCAGTTGCCATTAAATTATTGGTTAGAATAAATTGTAAATCTGTTATATAAGTAGATAATTTTTACTAGTTGATAAAAAGATTACATGAATGTATTAGCATGCGATTATTGAATTATCTACATTAATGTTGTGCTTCAAGTTGCAACAATTCTCACAATACAGATAATTGTACAGTAGTCAGTATTATTAAAATTCTGGACTTTAAAGTATTTTTGGAATACTTAAAGAAAAGTTTCTTTTTACAGTTAAAATCAACATAATTTACACTGTTAGTATTTTAATCGATTTGATTTGGGTATAATTAATGTATAATGCAATACATGTATTTGGACGATTTTTGCTGAACGTATTAAATTTTATTATTTCAATAATAAAATAATGATGACACGGCGTCCTGAATAGACAAATTGATTACGCGACAATAGTGATTCTTTTTTTTCGGTGTATTCAGATTTCTAAGAGTGACTAATAACTTTTGAGTGAGTTATGACTAGTCATAAATCATTTATGAGTATGTAAAAAATTGCAATTTTCTTGAGATCAAACCTCTAAAAAATTAAAATATTGTAAGATATCATCGTATAATTAAAGATAATGTTCTTAGTTCTTACCTTTACCTGTCTATTATAGGTTAATTTAATCTAAAATGAAGTTTACAACTGAAGATTGGTTGGTACTGAATGCAATTTTACCAATCTCATGTTGTAGATTGTAGTAAGACCGAAACAGGTGAGATAGTATTATATGCGAGTACGATGTTTCACGTCCTCTTGCCGGCTCCTATTGCATTTTATTATTTTATAATAATAAAAATTTTTAAATATAACATGATTAATCGGTGTGACCAATCTACTTTATTAAAGTATACCACTGACCCAGGTACAGATGTTTTATAAAGTCTCTGGATTTCAGATTTGTACCAATTATAATTGATATATTAAGCTTAAATTTATATTTATTTTTTACTTATTCTTCAAGTTTAATTTCAATTTGTATTTTTCTGTGATAGTTCAATAAACTAAGTGTAAATTTGAAAGTAAAAAAATGTTGAAAACAGTAAAATTTTGTCTGTCCATTTGCATTACGCCAAAGCAGGTAAATGTATGATCGTTTTATTTAAATTTTTTTTGTAGTTTTCGTTTCAATGTGGCGTGTAGTGTGTCGTTTAGATTTTTATTATGAAACACTACTAATATAGAAGCTTATATTGTTTGTGAATATGCGTAAATATACACTTATAGCGCTTGCAGGAGCTATAGTTATTCTGAGCCAAACATGTCGCCTCGTGATGAAAGCTAATAATCATTTATTAAGTGATTCACCAAGCATGCTCAACCTTATTGACTCATTTAATTCATTCATGAACAGTAAAGTATTTTGTAAAAAAAATTATATACTTTTGGAAATTAATTTGAAAAAATCTTATTTCATATGAAAATATTGAAAATAATACTGCAGTTACATAATACACAGTTTTCATATTTTCCAAACCCTTAACCGTGAATTAATTATTCTTAGTATACTAAGTTAAATAAATTAAAAACTATTCGTTAAAATTTTGATTTTAATTCGTCAAAATTTTCTGAAAATTTTTCCGTTAAATAATAATTTATGATAATTGATAAATAGAGGTTCTCATTTGAAAAATAGAACTTTGGATCTCTGCAGGATACTCGCAATGTAGTATAAAAAAAGTCCCTCGCATTTGTAAATATGATCATTAAGTAGGTTTATTTAAAAATGCTAACAATTAGATTTTTAATTACTTCATCATTGAAAAAAAAAAATGGGTGAGCATACTTGGTAATCATTCTGTAATGCACCATTTTAATTTCAATTTTCGTAAAAAATTTCATAATGTAAATAATCATTATAATTATTTTTTAAATCACCTTTACAAGGATAAAGAAAAATAGCGATTATAGTCTAATAATTTTATTTATACATTTTTACTCAGTACCTACCTATTTCATTATAAGTATATTGTTTGAAATTAATACTCAAACAATATTCAGTGAAATTTAAAACTATTTTTATTTTATTTCACGTAGATTAATGTATTGGTATGAACCACTTGTTTAAAATATACTTTTTGAGTTATGACCAGTACTTTACATACTGGTTAACATAAGCTAATTAAAACATGATTTATAAAAGATTTAAATTATATATAGATTAAAAAATGTATATTTTTATATTATTATATTATATTTTTAAAGTCATTCAACTTAGATTAAGAATTAATCAGTTCAGCAGTTAATATATTTAATGAAATAACTAATTCTACAATATTAATTTAACTATGTGATTAAAAAATAAAGAGGTAAATTTGTATATAAATTTCACAAAAAAAAAAAAATAAATAAAAAAATAAATAAATAAATAAATAAATAAATAATAAGTAATTTGATATTTATAATAGTGTTTGGTAAAAACTTGTTGAGCTAGTTATTTTAAATGTTTGTAAATTTAAATAACAACTATAAAATACACTATAATTAAGTGGTCTAGCAGCTAGAGTTTAACTAGTATACATTAACGATATTGATTATAATGGAGTCTGTCCTTTTTTCATACCGTTCAATTAATGTATAAATAACATTATTTTTATTTTAAGGATCATTATATTACTGCGTCCATAACGTAAGAAGTCTGGAGACAGTTATTTAAGCGTATATTGCACACCTGCCGTGTATACAGTTCGATTTAATTTGGAGTATAATAGGTAATTAATAATTATTAATAATATAGGATAGGTAAGTGCAAGTTAAAACACGTATGTATATAAATAATATCGTGTCCTATCCGGGATTATAACCGATTATTTTATCTATCTGTGTATAATAATATATAGAGAAATATAATGACCTCAATAATGTATATTTTCATTATAGGTTCAGACGTACAGTACGAATTCGAAGTTACAATAATTAGTAATTCTGTTTCTGTAAATAATAGATTGAAATAATAACGGTTTAGACGAAATTTTGAATGAAATAAGACACACAATTTGTCGTGTATGAATATAAATAAAATATTTAAGTGTTGAAGTGTGGCTATTACAGTTATTAGGTATATAATTTGTAAGGAATAACTATTAACGTAAAAATAAATTACCGCAGCCAATTAATAATATTTTTCTACTAGTTAATACATAGCTGTTCAGATAGATTGGTGTAGAAATAAATGAAGACGATGGTATTAACATCATAATTTTTCATTACACACTCTGATAAGCTATTACGGAGTGATCAATGAAAAAGGAGCGTTATCATTCCCTGGACAGCCGCAGACAATTTTCGGATGCGTCGTGTACGTGAGTAATAATAACTATTAAAACACGTAGGTGTTATATAATAATAACGCGATTATAAGTATAGTCGAGTGCTGGATTTAAGGGGATAGGTGACGTAGTGACCGCTTCTTTTTGCTTATTGGTCCGCTTAAAATTTTATTTTTATACCTTTATTGATTATATTCTGTTAGGTTAGGTTAGAATTGTTTCAATATTAATAGGTACAATATTTTAAGCTTGAATTATTTGTTTAATCTTGAATATAGGGCTTTAGTCGCTATATATTGTAATTTTGTGTATCTAAAAAATATTTGGATATAAATGGATCCAAATATATAGTATAATAGTTCTTCATAGTTTTTTGATAGTAAATAATACATACATAATTAGAAAATGTCTGTATTGTTACTATAGATTATAATGCTATAGCTATATGTAACTAGAGGTTCTTAAATGTAGGTAAAACTTCGAAGTAAAAGATACATTGTAAGAATTACAAACTTGATCATTTTATGTGTTAGCAAGGTTTTTCTAAGCTGAAAAGAAATATGTTAAATTAAAATAAAACCCAGTTATTCTTATAACTAAAAGTTATAGTAAATAATATATAATATGTATTTAGTTTAGCAGTTAACGGTGGCTGTACATTGCTAGTTTAGTGGTGTGATTTTTGTTTAGGGGGAAAAAAATATAATAATCAAAACAAAAACAACATCACACAACATGGTAATGGTCATGCGATCATGTCGTTAAAATCGGGAACGAAAAAAGGAAACGTTTGTCACGTGACGTGCGGGGAAACCGCCGATTTTCCCGCTACTATAGTCTCGGTGTAGTCAGTTTTCCCAACCACTATAGCCGTGCAACACGCGCGCTGTGGTAGGTACACTCGTCGCTGTGTTCTCGTCGCGTGCAAACATTCGTTCGTCCGTATGAAATTGAATATGTAATAGTGTAAAAATCAAAAATATTGTTACTTGAAAGCCAAATCTGTTGGTTGGTGGTCATGGTACAATAATAATAACCATTGATTATTTTGGTTTTGTAATCGTAAGGTGTGAGAGAAACATTAAAAAATTAATACCCAAATCTATAAATATTTGCGAGATTTCGGAATGTTTGTTGTATACCCATAATTATAGTGTCTCGTGTTAGCTATAGCCTCGTGTGCGAAATCGTATGGCCTACGAGGCCACGTAGACCGCGCGGCTGCAGTCCCGTCTGTGGCGTCAGTGGTGGTCGTGGTGGCTACGTAAAGGTAATAATATAATTTTGATTAATCGTTTTTGTGCATGGTGACGTGACAGGATAATTGATATATAGTGACCAGTACGAAAAGAGTGATAACAATTAAAATATCTAATTTAAATGTATACGGTAGGTATCCTTGGAATGATTAAAACTCAGATTTTATGCTTAAGTTCTATGTTAAGACTAAAAAAATAACACGAAGTATACTGTATACTAGAGGTATGCACTAAGCAATAAAATAACTGAAAATAACTACGATTGCTGACTGTAACTATATTTGTCTTATGTTAATGTGTGTGTTTGCAGAGTTTTTGGTGAAATATTAACATAATACCAATCGAAAATGTTGTGTCTTTTATAAAATATATATTTAATTACTCTATAGTTCACCATTCTCGCAATAATTATTATACTTAATGTACTATTAAAGTATGTACATATCTAATCAAGTTACAATTTAGCAGGAGAGAATGATTAAACAACAATTTGAATATCCTAAGTATTATTTAAAGTTTAAACTGTAGTTGAACATATTTTGTCTTCTTGATTTAGAGCTAAACGTATACCCATTATTAAATCAATTTATGGATATTTAAAATTGTTTTACTCATAAAAATCTACCTATCTATTGACTGTTGTATTTCGAATTCCGGTATGGTATTAATTTAATTTAATTTTTTTTTTTATAAGATTTGAATTCTATTTCATAAACTATAAATATAATAGGTATATAAAAAAATTACAAAAACATTAGGTGTTAGTGGTTTGCATAGGCGCAACTAGTCCTCTAAAATGTGGGGTGCATAAACTGTTAATGCCTCACAGAGTCATGGTATTTCACTACAACAGTAATAATTAATAGTTGTATATAAAAAAATAAGGGGTGTTAAACTTAAACCAGGGGATCTAAAGACTCTTTTGCTCCCTCCTAGTTGCACCACTGGTGGTTCATATTATTTTGTTTAACTTTCATAAACTATGAATTGCATTATTATTATTTTAAATGGTGAGGTAATGCAAAACGGCTATTGAAAAATACAGTATTTTAGGTTTTAACATTTATATAGCTGCATTACATATCGAAATACTATATTATGATAGGTGATGTGAACTAATGATTTGTAAAAATAATTCTTAATTACAATAATAGACTTCCAGAATAATGTTAAAAAGTATACTACAGTTTCCAGCTTTACCATAAGTAAACCTGTGAGAAGAGTTATTTTTTTTTAAAGATTTTATAAACTGGTTAGGTAAGAGGGCTAAAATATCTACAGTTTCCTCAGACTCCTTATCTACTTTAACCATGCTACTGTTGTATATTGTGTTGTTTATAGTAATACTAGCAATAATTGAGAAACTAGGATTTATAATTTTTTTTTTGTTATTGCATAATAGGTGGCAGTTTGATATATATCTATATAAGTAAAGCTTGTGGTCTCTTAACAGTTAACATAACAAAAACCTTTTTACATAACATTTTGAAATTTAACTAAGCCAAAAAATTAACACTTATTATTAATACTCACTTAATAGTATTAAGGTTAGGTTAGATAAAATGAATTCACACCTTATGAAAAAGTTGAAATGTTGATAATTTTGCTTTTGTTTGAATTATGAAAACTTTATTAAGTTTGTAATTGTTTCTGATTTAAAAACTCAATAAATTATTAAAAGTTGTAATCAACGTTTAAAACCTAAATAATCATATTCATTTTGTATTTTGAAATATATTTTTCTAGCATTATTTAAAATAATTCAAAAATTAAAATTAAATTTTCATACATATACAATGTATAAAAAGAATTATCACAATCCGATTATTCTACGAGGCATGATAATTTTAAGTATATAATTGTTTATGATCGTTGAAATGGGTTGATAATTTATTTTTTTCATATGGTTACTGTTCAATGTAATTAGAAATTACTTGAATTTTGTCCCTTTATAAAAAGTCGTTTTGACACCGTTAATATGCGTTTAATTCAAATTGAAGCTTATACGTTTATTTCTTATTTTTTTTGCATAACATTTAGTAGGTCTGTCAAATGAAAACGACAAAAAATACTTAAATATTTATGCCAATAAAAAACAGCTATATTTTTGTTATTAATAGTATAAATTCACTAGGTATTTTATGCTTTTATTTTTTACTACATATTTTGTATAGCTTCTATTTATAGGATACTGCGTTTAAAATATCGTTATTTAATATTTTTCTAAAGGTACTTACACGTTTTATTAATCTATTTAGTAGTTATTATATAAACGTAAGATAACTTTTTTGGAATTTTAACCATGTTATTTATTTATTGATCATTAAAATTTATTGATTCCAGTTATAAATTGTAATATACTCAAAACGCATAATTATTTGTTAATGTGGAACAAATTCATTTTGTAAATTTAAAAATTTATCAAACGTTTTATAAGCAAAAATATTACTTTTATTTAATATTGGTATTTGGTTATATTTGGCTAGAGTTCAGTTAAAATACTTAATATAACAGTTATAAGTATTTTTCAATAATATTGATTGTATATTATAGTTTTTTAAAGAATAAACCGTGTTGAATATTTTTCATTATATTTAAATTGTTTAATTTGAGTTGTTCTTATGCGTATATTTAGATTTTCAATGATTGTTAATAAATTACAAGATATTTTAATTACTTACTTTTCGAGTACTCATTATGTATTATACTTTTATTTTTTATAGTTTTTATACTAACTATTCAGTATGAAGCTTATCTTATTTTATACTCTACAGTCTACAGTTTTTGAAAAATTACACCCGTAATTCGATTTTAAATGATTATTAATACGCAGTAATAAAAATTAATTTTAGAAGTCAGTTTGCTGATATAAGTGAATGTTTATTTTTGTTTTTAACGTACAGTTTTTAAACATTAACTCCGATTAGGGCTTGACTAAAACATTGGCAGATATTTAATTTTAAGATTTTAATATTTTATTTATTATTTAAACTTGAGATAAATAATGATTGGTATGCAACAAACTTAAAAAGAGTTAAGCTAAGTTAAACTCAAAATCGAATTTCGGTTTTAATCAAAATTATAATTCACTTTTTAATGATTAGGTACCTATGTAATTTTAAGTATTTTATCAACGTCTAAAAAAGTATGTTTTTCTTCAATTTCTGGTTAAAAATAGTCCAAGAGTTTCATAATTAAGTTTTAGTATAACTGCAGTTAAAAGATTTAACACAATTATTGAACACTTTTATTAAGATAATTGTAAAGGGTATCATTCAATTTCTAAGATTTATTACATAACATGTTGAAGGGATATAATTAAAAATAATTAAAAACAATTTAAATTTAAGAAAGTTTTTAGAAATTTTAGTTTAAAAAATAATCTTAGAGACTCAATATATGTCAGTGCTTATTATTATTGATCAATAGATGTAAGATGTTTTTATTTTAACAATTTTTGAGTTAAATATATAATATTTTCAGATGATTCGTATTTTTTTCAATATAGTGAAACAACCATTTTAGAGGTCCACCTTATAACTCTTTTATTAGATTTTTTTTTAAATATATGATTAATAAATATAAAGGTATTTTAATTCGAAAAGTAATAGAGTGGTCAAGGCTTAATTTCTATACCATAGATATATGTCTTTTTTAAAAGCTCTCCAAAGAGGAATTAGAATTATTTGATGTTGTTGGGTTTGTATAAAATAAGAATCAAATTTTCAAGCGAACCTTGAAAGACAAACGAATATCTACAGAATTTTAATATGTATTCATAATGTACATAATAAAATATTATGTAGGCGCATTTTTATGAATACTATTGTTGTACATATTAAAATAATAAATATAAAAATATGTATTATCTCGGTTGAAGTAAAATAATATCGTACGATGAAACTTAGATTTTCTAAGTTTACAGTTTATACTAATTATACAATATGTTTAATTGTAATTCTTTACAAATTTAAGGTTGCTAGCGAGTGTAGTTGAGTTCAACAAAAGTTGTTAACAAGCGTTTGTTTATCATTAGTTCTTGTGGAGATTTACTGCGACATATCACTGTGAATGTTGCTATCTTAAAGTGGACGTTGACGTCACATCAAGATTTGCTATCAGTTTTCATGTAGTATCTTTCGTAATACTCGTGATAAATTATTTATATAAACTAGGTTCATATTATATACCCAGTGATAAAACACGTTATTACAAATTATTAATCATACATAAATACAGCTGTGAAGTGTCTTCACGGGTAAATTATTTATCGGGAAAATGTAATAGATCAAGTAATATTCGATTTTCAACAATTATTTTTGTTGTTATTTTTTTTTAATATTTATAATTATATATATTCGCAGTTAAATAAGCCACAATGAGAGTAATACTTTAGTCTAAAATAAAATAAATTGAGTATAAAAAAGAGTCTATGCAAAAAACTAGGACGTAACTACGTAAGATGATGTAAAGAATGATTTGAGAAAAAGTTTTAAGATGTTTTAACGTAACAAAAAATCTAAGGAAGAACATTATAATTGCTTTTGAGTTTTTAATAAAAGCGTAAACCAATCTATTTTCTAAGACAGGAGTAACATTTATTTTGTTATCAATTTGCTAAAGTTGTCAAAACAAAAATAACGCAATGCTATAGTAAAGGTGAATGTGAAGTGGGGAGCAATATTCACTGTCATGTGGAAAAATATGAGGTAAAAATATAATTTATCAATGTTAACTTGCAACATATCGTATGCTCTTATAGTTTATGTATTTTTCTCGAACAAAGACTTCGGAGCATAATAATAAAATCTTGTAACACTATTATTGGCAATATAGATGACGGTTCTTGTTGCAGCTAGGTTTTTGTAGTAAAGATACGTGGACGATGTGAGCTCGTTGTAGTATTGATGTGTGTCGTCATTTGGACTCAGTTTCAAAGGTTCAGAAATGCATATAGTATACACACAAACACACACACACACACACACACACAAAGGAATGAATATATATG